TATATATATATGTGTATATATGTATATATGTATATATGATGGAATGTATGTTTTATTGTTGACTATAAGTCATTTCATATAGTTATTTACATACGGTAATCCATCAAAGTCAAAGATTTAGGACTTAAAATTAAAATTACTAATAATAGATATCTTCAAGTAATTTCATTTTATTAATAGGATCACATTATCGCAGATTCGTTACAGATAATATTTATTTACATTAGCGCTAATTTATTTAAATAAATCACGATATCGTCTATGTACAAATATGTCGGTGTATGTATTCGTAAAACAATAATTAATAATTCTATGATGATAAGACATATCTAAACTAGATAAAGTATAATACAGCAACAGCGCTATAATAATCATCGGAATCGGGAGGATGCTACACCTTCGCAGCCCTTTTACACGCTCTTTCTCGATTACGCTTGTCAATTAAAGATATAAAAATAATAGCCTCCAGTCGGCAGTGCGCACTGATACGGGCACTAAAATCCACCGGCTGTATGAATAACAATAATATCTGAGCATTTTCGTGGCGTTACGAATCCCATTGTACAAAAAGAAAAAAGACAAGGAAAAAAGCAAAATTCATCTCGATTCCCCTGTTCGTTTCCGCCGCGCATAAAATCATTAGGCGCTAATAAAATAATAAGTAGAGTCCGTCAGTCCTGTGACTTACACCTTAAACTATATGTTAATCACATGTTTCGCGGTTATTTATAACTAGGATCACAGGCTCTGTCTGTGATTACTCAGTGTTCACAATCGTCATTGTTAGTTATAAATAATTAAATTGATTGTTGAAACGAGGAACTGTGTAGTAAATAGTGTTCTTTCCGGAGTCGGGGCATTGTGAGTTTACGCGCATCGAAACGTAACTCCGGTGAATCAACGAATTCAACGAACCTCCCTGTAATAAGTGAGAATTAACACATCGCTCACTTTTATCATTCTCGGTTAAAATATACATTGTATGTATGAGCAAAGAACGAATGAACAGAGAAAATTAAATTTATTAAAAAAGAAAACTTGTTTAACGTATCACACTCTATCCGCATTCATTGTCCGTTCGTTGTTCATACATTCGATATATAATTACCAATGTATATTCGTTATTGCGTCCAGCGAACGAGCGCGATAATTAAACATGATATGTTATTTCTGACAAAATATAAATGGAGAATACTCAATATATATCAATATATTTCCATAAGAATTTTCAGTATTTGTCTTGTCTTTTAAATTTTTAAACAGTCACGCATATTTCGCCCAATTGTAGCACAATACTTTTCATCAACTAAATATCAACTAAATTCGGACATAAATTCGCATTATTATAATATACGCAATAAATAAGAAAGTAATTAATCGTAATTTATCAAATCGAAAGTAGAAATGCTAAATGGAATACGAAATTGCAGCTACGGAATGTGAAATATCGACTGTGCTATTATCCTCTGTTGCGAGCTAATAATACGATCGGATCTTTTCACACACTCAATTGCTAACGATACTTTTTTTACCGAAAGTTTTTCGCTTAGAGAATAATAAAAGAAATTACAAATTCGTGAGAAATACATAAAAAAATAGCACTGTAGATGTAAATATAAAATTTACATAATTGCAAAGTCACCGAACGTAGACCAAGTAATCGAAAGTTTGATTAACAAACTCATTCTTGACGTTGGTTAGGTAAACCAAATCGTTTACATATTAAAAATAATACCAAACATAACATCAAATAAATATAAACGCTTGGCTTTGCGTCTACTGATATGCGACTCGATAAAATATTCAAAAATATTTCTCAATTGATAAGAATTTCACATATGCCTCTTGATAAATTAGGTATATGTTTTACACACAAGTAATTCCAATAAAGATAGAAAAAAAATGTGTAGTCCTGTTCTTCTTAAAAAATTCGAAAAGAATTTTAAATATATCTTTAGTATGTATCTATTTTTCCTTTACTTTATAAATAAACATGATATATTTGTATTAATTTGAAATTTGACTTTTTTTATCTTTGTATCATCAATGAAATTGGTGATAATAACTTTAACTTTTTTTGCACAATTACTATATATCAGCTATATCAGTTATGTACATTACAAATCAATGTACGTTCGTGATGCAAGTCAATACATCGTTTTCATTTTTGATTAGATAGCAAAATTGACTGCTAAAAAATCTCCGTCATGTTATAAAGGTATATGAAATATTCTTTAAATGCAACTCGAGGGAAGTACATATAAGCCCTGCATGGAAATGGTATTGTTATATTTCAATTTAGAATCATTGGATTTCTGTCCGTTTAGAATCTCCATAAGACGTGATTCTTAAACAAACAAAAACGAAAATTCAATATTAAAAAGGCACAGAATAAGAGTCATTGAGAACGCGAGTGTCGCTTCTCCAGCGTATATCATCTAAACGAATATGTTTCACGTGTCTAGAATTCTGTTAATTATACATGCGCGCACGCGTCGAGACGCGATGAGAATAAGGCCGCGTAGAAGCAGAGCCAGTGATATGGTGTAAAATAATGGAAAGAAGCAAGAGCAAGTAGTTCGCTCTAAGCGACTCGCCATTTTACTAGCTTCGCATTAACGTCGACGATTGGCGCATTTAATCTTCGCTTGAAATCGGATGACATTCGAGCGAATCGCACTCGGCCAGGGCCTCGCCGCCGCGTCGTAGAGGAAATTCGTCGGTTAGCAGGCTCTCTGGCACTGTAGCCGCCGAGTCGATGCTGTCGAAATAGCGGTGAGGCCACGCGGAGCTCGGGCGAAAGCGCCTGGTGGGCGAACCGATTATGAATTCTACTCGTGTGGAACCGGTAACGGACGATGTCTCTTGATTCAAGGAGTCCGGATAGAGGGACGAGTCGCTGTGCCGGAAACTGCTGTTGGTCGAGCACCAGGAACTTGGTGATTCGATGCAGTTCTGGAAGATATGAAATGCGTGTTAGTCAATTAAATAAATAAAATTTACCTGTTATATTACAAGTGCCAAAATTTTCCTATCGCTATTACAGCATCGCTTTAGAGATACATCTTGGAGATACATCTTAAAGAAATGCATGACAAAGAGATTAACTTTATATTAATACCCAAGAATTTAGAACAGCCGATTTATGTCAGTTTTGTAGCGTGAAAATTGACGGAAAAATTTATATGTTAAATGTAGAATGATAACAATTTGTAAAAATACTACTGGCTGTTTTAATGCTGAGGTATCAAGATCTGTTAGCTTTCGTATTTATATAACATATGTATGAGCAAAAGTAAAATTCTCGTACGAAGCGACTTTTCTACTTAATAACTTGAATTCAATCATAAATATAAACATTATATAAATATAAAAAAAATAAGAATCGTAGTAATTAAGTAAAGAGAGCGTGTCATGAATTTTATTAGCGAATGCAATATATCGTAAAATGTAACATCGTCTCGCGCGATGCTGGACATAAGATGGACAATGAACCGTAAGGCCAAGCAGGTAAACGTGTAATTGATTCATTTTCCCTCAATCGCGGATGTGACTATAATAGGCCACGACTACGACGGTTCTCTCGAGTCTTTTTTTATAATCCGTAAACAAGCAACGCTAGCAAATAAAATCAAATCTCAGCAACCAAAAAGAGCAAATCAATTTAACATACAACACACATTTGAAAGAGCAGGGAGGAAAACTCGCTAGCGCTGAATGCTGATGATGATCATAATGATACGTGCTAATAAATGTACTAAATAAAAGTTCTCTCCTCTTTTTCTCCTTCTGTCATGAGAGTAAAGAGATTTGTTTGAGTAAGTATGTACTAAAATGTATGGGAGTATCAAGGTAAATGAATATGCGACGAATCGAGCGTGTATGGTTGTGTGCGTTTTTATGAATGAAAGATAAATGTGGAATTATCTGAATGTGGCTAGAACATTTCTAGTTTTGTCTAGCGGTCGGTCTTTTAATAAAACTTCGGCAATAGAAGCTCGCGTTTATCGTAGATTTTGATGAAATATTCGGCCGAACATGCAAATTTTGACGGGTTCTCGTAAATAAATCGCAAAAGAGAAGAAAAAGCGAAAAAATCCAAATTTGTGCGAATAACCGTTTAACCCTTTTTTGATGCCAATTTGAAATAATATACAAATGTATTTTACCATCTTTTCTAACATTAGCGTGGATCATAGAAATCAGCCTTTAAAGTCTTAGAAATTAAACAAGAATACATTAGTTTCTATTTAATCTATAAATTGTATACAATATAGAATTAGCAATATTCCCTGAAAGAGAAGAATAATTTCATTCACTAGAGAAATGAAAAGAAATTTAAAAAAATAATTTTAAAAGTTTAAATTTAGACTACTAATACGAACGATGGTCTGTCTATTAGCTCTATATAGTACTCAAACAAAACGCGTTAGCATATTAAAATTACGTTATCCATTCCAAAAGTTCAAAGAACTTTCATGTAATATATTTGCAAAGATAAGCATTCTTACTGATATTCGTAATCTGGGAGATTCGACTACGGGTACGTGCGCATGCCAAAATCCAAGTGAGAGCGTTCAAACTATGGTGTATTCTCTACCGGTGTGGTAAAAGGGGGAAATGAAAATAGGTTGAAAAGATAGAGGCTACAGCTCACCACATCCAGGAAAAAAGCATCAAAGCAAATGATAATAAAAGAAGCATAACTTACGAGAAAAAACCGGCGGCACGCGAGAAGGGGCCACTTTCTTTCTTTATTGGACCGCCGTTGGGGACGGGCTCGAACGCACGCTCGCCTGCCCTCCAGATCAGACTGATTTGGTATGGTGGACGGTTGGGCGGACAATTGGTGGTTTTAAAACAAGAATTAGTCGATTTGTTCGCTCAAGTCTCTGCACGTATTGTTACAGATGTTTTTTTTTTCCCCCAGGAACATCGATTTATCAGACAAAGATAGTGGCTCAGCGAAAACGGGAATTCCGTTCCTGCATGATTGTACATCGTTGGTACCATGTCGAAGTCCGCGGTAGAATAGAAGAGGAATGGAATAGAACAAGGACATAATGAAGATAGACGTCACGGGAAAAACGGCAGGAAATAACAGCATTATGAAAGTCGGTGCATGTGTCTGTATCATCGTAGGAAACTGTACTAGATACAGCTTCGATAAATATACGTACTTTCGGTATCACTAGATGATATAGTCACAGTTACGGTTGTTATATAAGGATATGACGTAACAGTAATAAGACAGTAATAGTAATAGTTAAAGTAGCGAGAAAGTACAGAGATGAGACAGTTAGCAAGATAATACAGAAGGATTTGTCAAAAGAAAATGATGATGGAATGATGCTGTTTAGTCCGTCTAGCTAATCTTAATTTAACGAGACCAAAGTCAGTGCAAGTTGAGACGAGATACTATCGGGAAGCAAAAAGGAGCAGTTTTCTAATCTCGTTACAAAGATTAATAGAGTGGACTTCGAAGGGAATGATGTTGAAGGCGATGATTGTCCCTAAGAGAGAGCAACTACAGCCTGTCATCCTGAGGGAGAGAAGGCTTGCCGAGAGCTCTCTACTATACCGGACCATTGGACAACGGTGACTTCAGCCAGCTGCTCCAAAAGAATTGCTTTACAGGTCGTACCTTGCCGTTCTCGGACGCATCGACGGACGTCGCTGCGCGCGCCAGGCTGTGGGAACGGCGTGCAGGAGCGGGCGGTCGTCGAGGAGGAGCGTTTACCGTTCCCGTGTTGGGCGAGGATGTGCCGAGGTTGTTGTTAGACTCCAACGAGTCACGGGCGCGGGACAGCGAGGAGGATTTGTTTAGGGAGTCTCGGCTGGAATTGTTACGCGGCAGGGATCGATTGTTCAAAGATGACTCCCGATTTGTTTCCTTGCTGCCGCCGCCGACGCTACTGCTGTTGCTTCCATTACCGCCACTCCTGGACAGACTTCTATTGCCTAACGAATCTCGACTGGATTCGCGCGGTTTCGATAACGACTTGCCGCCGCCATGGCTGTCGCGACTAGAATCACGCGGTGGTCTCGTTAGCGATTTGAGTGATTCCCTGCTATCGTTCCTGCCGTGACTGGGCGGTCGTGCAGGCGTTGTTGCAATCACGCTCGTTGTAGGCGTCGTCGTTGTCTTGCCGCTCACGTTGCCGGGTAAAGGTATACGACTAGGACGCCGCCGCGGCGACGGTTTAATCTCTACTGGCTGATGATGGTCCCGCGCGGACTCCGTACTGCTACCGGGCTCAAGGCCGCTTTGCTCGCATCTGGGATGCTCCAAATCCGCCTCCGGTTCGGCTTCCGTTGGCGGTCGTTGTTGAAGACGCTCCAATACGCGCACTCGCGCTCGCGTGCCTTCTAATTCGATATTTCGTTCCTCTAACTGAAAGAGATATGAATCATATTATATTGTAATGAATAATATTATATTGTAATATTATAACGAATATCTCTTTTACAAAAGAATGTAACGCACTTAATAATGTGATACTTTTTTGAAATTCTTTTAAATAAAGTTGCTATATGTATGTGTATGCAGCGACTTTTGATTACGACTCACCTGGAAACGCAAATCATCGTTCTCCTCGCGCGCTTTGTCCAATCGCTCTGAGAGAGTTTCTGTACTTTTCTTGACTTCATCTAGCCTTTTTTGTAGGACCTGCAAACAATAAGTCGTTAAGAAATTAACAGTCATTGATCAAGTTTATTCTTTTCACTTTTAAATAGATGTATTAGAATAGGAATGACCGATCTTACCTGATTATGGACGGTAGTAGTAATTAGGTGCCGCTGAAGCTCGAGGGGCGAATGCTCGCGAAGAATGGCCGCAATCTTCCTTGAGTCAACGTCTTTCACGTGAGTCACCCTGGTGGGCGAGACCAGGATGGAATCGAGCGCTCCCAACCTGGCTCGCCTTTCATTTACGTTTGCCTCAACATCGATGTCGACATTTCGCATCTCGTCATTGCATCCGACAACATCCAATAATACATTCTTCTCGATAGTCCTCGTGCGAAAGCGGCTCTTGTGAGCCTTGCTTCCAGGACTACCGGTGACCGACACGAACGCCGAACTGTTGCTCTTAATACTAGTAACATTGGCATTCTTCGGCGAGGAAATTACCGGCGCAATAGGTTGCAGTCTTTGAACGCCCGGTGTCAAAATCTCCGAAGCGTTCTCGGTCAGTCCAGCCCGCAACCGATCCTCCAGACCAGTCTTCAGTGCCGATAAGGCGGCCAACTCTGTTTGCAATTCTTGTGCTCGGGCACGACTCGATATCGTCTCTGCCTCGAGCTCGGCCACTTTGTCTAATAGCTGTTCCTTCTCCCGCCTGAGAGCTATCACTTGTGGGTCCCTACTATCCTGTTGCTGTGGATCGACATTCTTATCGACAACATTACTGCAACCAATTGTTCTATCAGTATCACCGAGACCAGTGATTTTTCTCACAGCCTCGAGCACATCCGTCGACACTAATTCCTCTGTCGCCACGCTCTCCAAACGACCCTGAAGGCACTCGACCTCTTCGCGCAGCCGAATCCCTTTGCGGTGGATCACATCTAGCAGGTTCCAGAGTTCGTCCTCCGCCTCGTCCAACGTATTCGGCCGGGGACTGCTCGCTCGCGGCGCAATCGCCGTCGAAGCGCTGTCCTTCGACGAGGTCTCCGTGCTGAAACCGGAATCCTGAACTGTCGCACTGCAGTTGTTCTTAGTGCCGCCACTGTGGGAGTTGCTGCGGCTTCTAGGCAGCGACGAAGACGATTCACCTCCACCTCCGCTACCGCTTCCACCGCTGCCGCCGCCGCTGCTACTTTCGCGTGTTACTCGCCGCCTTATTTTGCCAGGCTCCCATTCGCTGATCCTTCGCGAGGACGGGCTCGACAGCGGTAACGGGATGTGCGAACTCTGGGTACAGGTAGACGACATCACGGACGCACCCGCGGACGCCGTCGCGGCCATCTTGTGCCGGAGGTTTGGGAACGTCTCGATGACGAGGTCCCGGAACTCGAGCAGGGCACCGACTTCATTCTGCAATTCCTGCAGGGCTACTAGGGACTTAGCTTGCTCGCTGATGAGGTAGTGAAACGGACCGGGGCGCAAAGGCATGCAGTCCATGCCACTAACGCCGACGCCGCTGCCACCGCTGCCGACGCCGTTACTGGTACTGACGTTCACCACGACACCCTCCGTCGAACCACCGCTGCCGCTATTGCTGCCGCACTGCTGCAACAACAAGAAGAAATCTATCTTATAATCTGTTATAAAAAAACAGAAAGTACAGAATATAAAGTCTACTCTCTAAATTTTTTGAAGTGGAATCTCACTAAAGAGTGAAAATTGAACCAATCTTGAAAAAGAGTGGTTCAATTTTCAATCTTTAAGAGTGAGATTTATTCTAAAAGTTTTAGAGAGTACTTTTACAATCTGTAATTCGCAGCTATAATACTATGTGCATCATACAGAGAGAATCAATCATTAATAATACAGACAATTTACAGATTCAGTATACAGTATTATAACGATACATATGGAATATGTATTATATATATATAAGATGCATATATGATAATAAAGTACATAAAAAATATACGGCATATATAAAATTATAAGAAGAATTCTATTTCGCCTAAAGTCTGACTATTGAATGAATGTCAATGACAAAATATAATCAAAAATACATTATGTATTGTAATAACATTTAAAAATAATGTTCACAAATTTTGTATAAAAATTTTCTTTTTACAATATCAATTTAAACTCGAATAAATTATCATTTCATTGATTATTTTTCATATAAAAAAAATTTTTTTTTTTTTTCAAAAACGATACTTTCTAAAAATAGAAAAATTGTCTCTAGATGTTATTATAGAAATTAATTAAAAAATAAAATAGTTTCAATTTTTAATATAAGTTTAATTTTTGTAGCATTAAGTAATAAATAGAAAATTTGTTCATACAAGGTATTAAAATTTCTAATTCATTTATGAGTTCACTAATGCAAATAATTCAATTGCTGAACTTTCTTTTTATCGCTGAAATCGACAACGACACTTTCTCATCATTTGATCGTCTTCTAGTACTACAAATCGAAATGAAGCCCTATGGTTTCACTATCCACTTTCTTGTGCGAAAATACATATTCGCTAATTCTACGTGAAGCGCGATAACTGTTATCCGAACGTGTTTAGTAATTCGAAGTCTGGCACGTTTTCTTTGGTGCACCGTCAATCTCGCTGCAGTCGCATCATTCCTTTCGGACACCCCCGCGCGTGAACGAGCCGTGACAACAGAAATTATATATATACGTCGATAATCGGCGTAATTTATCACATTGGAAAGTGCAATTTCTATCTCGTTCCCGAGAGAGACCGAAAGCGTCCTTCCATTATTCCAGGGATGTATCTAATATCTTACGCTCATAGCAAATAGATAGCACAAAAGTTTCACGATATTTCTCACAAAAACTGATGTCATTCAATACTTAAATCTATTCCAAAGCAATCTTTTGAAATGAAAAATCAAAATTAAGAGTAAAATCAATATTAAGAGTTTCACAGTACTTTTTGTTAGATTTTACGTAATATTATATTTATTACAGTAAATCTTTTGCGATCCTATTATACAGGATGTTCCACCGGATTAAACCACCAAATTCATATTTAAAGTAATTTAAGATTTCAAACAAACAAAATTTTTGTTGTAGAAGTTTATTGACAAACGCTTCATTTAAGACTTCTAAATTCCTGTAAACAATTCTTTAATTTGTGAGACCAAACAATTAAATAAAATTAAAAATTAATTAAATTCATCTGTAACTAATAGTTTAGGATAAGAAAGATCAATTATGTATATCATTTTTACTTTATTCCTCTTATTAGAGTTATTATGATGTAAAGCCACGACTTTGCATTTGCGAATGATTGAATCTTTTAAATAGTCTGCAGTTTTATTGTCATGCGTAGCAAACCTTAATTATCTTTCGAAGAAACACTTTACGGCCAAAATTATTAGATTATTGCAAAGTCCTGAAGCGTGAAGCTTCAGCTAATTCGAATACATTACAAAGATCCCTGTATAAGCGAACGCATAAGCGGGCAATCAGATATAATGTTGTATTATAAAATGATATTTAAGACTTTTAGAACCGTTTCTATACCGCGATCATTTCCTGTAATCCAGAACCTGATGTATTTCCGGTAATGAGAATCGAGTTATTGGGGCCTAATATCCGTTTGTTTCTCTTACGATACAAAGGAATTGCTTCCGGACAGACACCGCATTTCGTTTATATAACAAATATACTGAGATCGATAATTATCAATGCTAACGAGGCGTGCAACGTCATGTAGTAGCTATACTATTTTTACTAGTATACATATCACGCTGATGATAACAGTCACATTCAATAGAATATTTATGCAACTGTTGGATGTTTTCTTCATTGAGATTAGGACTACTCTTCTAGATCTAAAAGTATAATCCAATAGTTGCAAAATAAATATTCTACTGAACGTGGCCAATAGGTAATTTATACGACCGAGCACAACCGTCGTAAAATGCAAAAACAAATCGATCAATGATCGGACGTAAGCATCGATCATAAAGACTCAATTCTCTTCGCTGAAGAGTCTGAATTTAGGTTGATCTAACGGGGCAGCATAATTTTATTCTTCCTAATTATCGATACACACTTTCACCGGTTCTATATCGGCGAAGGAGAATGCGGTCGTTATGTTAATGACCAGTAATTACATTAGTTCGAAACACACACGTGCAAATTCGATGCATTTTTTAACGTGCCAATTTGACCTCCAGTCAATATTGATGATTAGAACACATGTTTTATCTCGTAAAGCGGATGCCTATGTGCGCGTCCTGTGTTATCGAAAGCGAGATGGAAAAGTGAGCGAAACGGATGTGCATCCTCATAGATAATTAGCTCATAATCGCATTATCCGGGAAATGCTAAACTGTTACTTTTCTCCCTATAAGTCGATCTAGAGAAAATCAGGTGATCTCGTTACATCCACCTATATTTCTACCACCTATAATTATTATATCCGTTAAAGAATAAGATTTTTAAAATAAGATATCATCAGGTATCACGATGTTAACAATGACAAAAATAAATATCACCGTACAGCGTAACAGTATATATAATATGGTATCTCAAATATGATATCTCATATGTGATATGTGATAAATAAAAAAGTATCATCGTTTAATTGTTACCCCAATAAAGTGAATTGCCATGTTCACGAACGTTGGCATTTAAGAATGTATCATCAAGCATGAAGATAATCTATAAACCGCGTAACACACACATACAGAGAATTATGATAAATAATACTCACACTATCGAATACTAATATCGAAATAGTTAGGTAAATATTTCAAGTAAAATTTAAAGTCCATATACATAATTAATTATTATAGTTAAGGACTAAACTAACTCAGAAGTAAACGTAATAATAATTTTCTAAAATTATTCGCGGTTAAAATAATTAAATTGTTTTATGAGATATATTCGAACTGTAGACGATGTCCTATGATGTCCATTAAGAAAAAAAATGGAAGTCTTCCTAAGGATATGTAGCGGATATACATTTCATGTCGGTTATTTTATCTTTGTACAATTTGCATACGATATCGAAGATGCCGATTCCGAGACTATGATACGCGCTACCGTCACATCTCAGCGCAATGTACGATGCATGACGCGTCTGATTAGTCAAGCGGCAAGATGGTAGGAAAGTGCGAGAGAAAACGAGGCTTTTGTGTCAAAGTCTTTCTCGAGATATTTCTCCATTCGACGACAAATGAAGACCAAGAGTGGACATGATATTCAATTTTTTACACATCTCAGACGGTTTACAAAGTAAGAACTTATAATGAGATGATCGATGTAGAGAAACGTACATTATCACATGCAGATTTGGAAAAGAAATTTGAGAACGATAAGTGAAAGCCCGCAGAGCTCACATTCTTATCTTAATTTAATATTGCAAAGACTTGCACTTTCTCATTTATGAGTCTTTGCTTATAGAATCAGTATATAAAAGATTCTCGGTGCTAATTACTAGCCATTAATGACTAGCCATTAATGCTCGCGCAAGGAATTTTTTTATTCGTTACTTGCACAAGCGGTTTATCTGTATGGTCACCTCCGTGTGGCATTTAAGCAGTAATGTTGCAACGTGTTACTGAAGGCATAATGTGTCCCAAGCGAAGAAACGAATCCCACCTTTGTCCATGAACGGATGATTCACGCCGTGCTCGACAGACAGTATCGGTATCTCGAAACAGGATTTGCCACCGACATGTTTAAGTTTAAGTGAATTCACCTTCGTGCACTTATTTGAGAAATCAAAAGATCTTTCGTGTATATAAATATTCATATTTTCAAGAATTCTTGCAATTAAATCTGACAAATATATTGATTCAATGGGGACTTTGTCACCCGTATTCGAATCGCAACATAGCAAGTATATATATTCAAATAAGTTCGATTGCTTTATTCGATGAATCAAGGATTCGACATGAATTATATACTTTCAAATACCTGTCGTCGTACAAGAAGATTGTAATAATCTATAAATCATTTCAATAACAATCAAACACAGAGTGTATAAGTTTCACAACTTACAAAAAATTAACTAAATAACATCTTAATTGTGATACACATTCTACGCAAAACAATTTACGATTAATGAAATCGAGTGAATTCCGTATCTAAATCAGTTCCCGAATTAGAGATTGAATCGCAAAATAAATAACAAGATCTTTATTTCATATACAGTAGAATAAACTTTATAATTTTAGACTTTCGAAATATTTACTTTGAAAGTATAATATTTACTTCAAAGTATAAAATTAAAGTTTGCAAGGTTTCCTTTTTTTTTAAATAAGATTTCTTGTACAAAACTTGAAAACTTTCTAGTCAAGAAATTTTTCTCAAAAAATTTTATAAAATTTTATAAGAAAGAAAGTCTTCATCTCTTGCAAATTTAATTTTATACTTTAAAGTAAATACTTCGAAAATAGTGAAATAAAATAGTAAAGTAAAAATTTCTCAAATTGTTGAAAAATCTGTTTTAGAACATGTGTATAAAATGAAGATATTAAAATCTTATTTATGTTCTTTATTTTTGCAAACTTTAATTTTATATAATACACACACACACACACACACACACACACACACACACATGTATATACATATA